ACTGGGGGCCTCTGCTGAACCCCCAAAGTCTTAGAGGTGCATCTTAGTCCTATTCAGCACAGTGCAGGGGTTGTCTTGAGTCCCAGAGCCCTGTTGTTGGCTCTTCTCCGTGCCCCACAGTTCTGGCCTGGCCCTGGTGGTCACTGAAGCAGCCACCAGAGGGACTGAGGCTCTGCTCTTAGGGAAGGCATGGCCTTTAGAACCCTCTTTACCTCACTGTGTCCTCCCCCACTGCCCTCTGAGCCCCATATTTGTGAACAAACCCTAAGGGTTTCGGGGAGGGGCCTCTTTTCTTAGTCTGGTGCCAAGTGAGGCCTTTTCCGAATAAACTCTTTAGACTTTGTTTTTTTGTGTGTGGACCATGGTCCTGTTTGGTTGCCTGTGGGTTCCCTGATTTGTTATATACATATATATAGGTTAAGAGCACCGACTGCTCTTCCAGAGGTCCTGAGTTCAATTCCCAGCAACCGCATGGTGACTCACAACCATCCTTTATGATATCTGGTTCCTTCTTCTGGTGTGCAGATATACATGGAAGCAGAATGTTGTATACATAATAAATAAAATCTTTAAAAAAATACTTAAGAAATTTATAAAAATATTTTAAAAATTAGAAAAAAAGAGACAAAGGTCTTACATATATTAGTATTACCAATGTTTCTAATCTGTATTGAAATCCATATTGTAGAAAAAGCAGCCAACAAATGCCATACCTTCAAGTCTTTGTTCATGCTTTTTAACCAAAAGCTCTTGCTTTTTTTCCTCTGTCCAGAAATGTTTTTAGCATGATGAGATGCACCTTTATATCTATGCTTAGACGACAACCAAAAGAAATTTAAAATCTTGAGTTTGTGACTGATAATATTAGTATTTTATCAGCTTAACATAATGCTGTTGATTGATATTAAAACTCTCAACCTTCAAAATAGAGGAAGAAATCAGAAACATTTTTTCATTACCTTAGATTACTCTTTTATACCTTTACAACTTACATTTACATACCTTAAATACTAACATTCTCATCCTCACATACTTTCTTAGAACCTCAGAACTCACTTAAGCTTTCACATTTTCCATCTAACCATTTACTAAAGACATGAGTAATTACCACATAGAGTAGTCATTGCAAAGCAAGTTCCTTTAAATCTTTTTGTCTTGTTTTGTTCCTCTTTCTCTGTCACAATCAGGTATCTTGCCTGACAAAGGCAGAGATTTTGGAGGAAACTTTTAAACAAACATGCTTGGGTCTAGGAAGTGGAAGCTACAACCCAACTCCAGAACCAGTTTTCCAATACAGTGGAACACCATGAAACAACTTTAATATTAACCACACTCAAAAGACATCTGAATCCCTGCTAAACTGAATCCAGTAACCAGAAAGCCTAGAGATAAATTCTGGGTCCTTGTCATCACAGCAGTCATGGCAGGCAGCATTAGTGGAGAGGCTGGTCTGGTAGAGACAGAAAACAAACCTATAAACATATAACTCAGAAAGCTTACATGCTCAAATGAGATCAGTCAGAAACAAAGCATGTGATGGCCACCATTATTCATACATTCAACTGAGCCTGACTCATTTATGTCTTGGCTTCTATATTTGACACATACTTACAGACACACCAGAAAACACAGACCCGTCTGCACACACAAAGCAGATAGACAAAACCAGATCCAAGTGGTCAGGTGATATTTTGCTTTTTGCCCTGGATGTCAGTTAAAGCGTTTTGTTGTTAGATGATGAGAGCAGTATGATGTTTGGTCATAGATAGGTTTTGGGTATTCCATACTCAGGTGTCACAGTCATATCTGATGGGAACAGCAAAAGTCATAAGGCCAGCACAGCTTCTTGACAAAGATCCAGCAAACCTGAGACTTGTGATGGCCACCACGACACCTTTGTTTTTGATCTCTACCTATTGCATATTTGGGTTACTGTTAATATTTGTACAATTTGAAGATAATGGAATATGGAAAATTTTTATGAGTCATTTATGCCTTCTTCCAGGAGTTCTAAGCTTCCCAGGATTGTCCTGAACATCCTATGCCCCATCTCCTCTTCCCCCCCAACCCCAAGCACTGCTTTAGAGACATCCTTATCTACTTGAATACTTGAAAGTCTTCCTTATGCCTTGGAGGTTATGACACACATAAAGAAGCCAGAGGTCTCTTTATGAGACTATGAAATAGGTATTTATTTATTTATTTATTTATTTATTTATTTATTTATTTTTGGTTTTTCGAGACAAGGTTTCTCTGTGTAGCTTTGGAACCTATCCTGGCACTCGCTCTGGAGACCAGGCTGGCCTCAAACTCACAGAGATCCGCCTGCCTCTGCCTCCCGAGTGCTAGGATTAAAGGCGTGTGCCACCAACGCCCGTCGAGACTATGAAATAGTTTTGAAACATCTGTCTCTGTACTTACATGGGAACAAGATACTCAAAACAAAGTAAACTTAAAAAGGTCAACAAGATTTGGTGGGCTAGAGGAGTTGGCCCCAGTTCAGATTTCAAGCCTCTTCCCAGTATACACTCAGGCAATTACATGGCATATACAGCAACAAAGTAAGATTAGCTGAGGTTACTTCAGCCCCACACAAACTTATATTGATGAGCAAAGTATGGAGTGAAAAGATTATTCTTCTTTTGTTTAAATTTAATGCCATGATCTCAATGGAACATGAACCAAGAGAGTCGTTAACCACGTGGAGTTTAATAAAAGGGGGGAAGAGTGAGAGGGGTGTGGCATAGAGAGAGAGACAAAGGGAGAGATGGGGAGTGAAGAGCAAGAGAGTAAGAGAGCAAGAGAAGAGAGAGTAAGTGGGCGGGGGTGGGGGTCTGTCTTTTAAAGGAGTCCTTTGTACCTGCGTGCAGGCTAGTACTCATGGAACCCTGGGCTGACCAGAGTACTGCCTGAGTGCATTCTGCCAGGTGACAGGGGCAGGCCAGCGTAATGCCTGAATCCTTACAAAGATGACAAAAGTGAGATGTCAGGGTCTCCCTTTTTTTAGAAAAGTTAGCACATGTAGAGCCAATGTGGTGTCATCTGACCAAGAAACAACAGAATGCCAGGATTAGACATATAGACAAATTTTACGAAAATATCAATGTAAACATTTTGTTATGTCACAATTTGACTAAAAACTGCAGTAGCTTTGGCCTGAGGATATTTCTTGGGCACTCTGACTATTAAGAGTTAATAATATGCTGCTTGGGACATGGCAGTATGCCTGGGACTGCTTGAAGATTGTTTTGGTCTAATGTCCTTGTAGCCACAAAGCTACCAGCCTGAAAACACTCTGCCATATGCCTCTAGATTCTTAAAATTTGGGTTATGGGGTTAATGAGTGGGAATGACTAAAAATGATAACTTTATCAATGATTTCAAAACTTGAGGGAAAATGATTGGAAATGATAACTCTGTTCTGTCATGATTTATTAATGATGACTAAAAGATGAATAAGAGAAAATGTTAAACACATGCCCCAAACCAAAAATAATATGATCTATATTTTGGAACAACATGAATCTATCCCTGCTTACTGAATTCTGTATAGATATAGAAGCACTCTGGTTGGTAGTCAGTCAGGCTGCAAGATTCTCCTGACCACCACGGCCTGGCTCACTTCCTTCCTTCTCCTACTCCTTACACCCCCTGCTTGGACCTGCATCTCTGCAGGGGATGTGCCTCCTCTCTGCCCATCTCTCCTAAAATGAAATGAACTAGTGTCTTGTGTCTTATTCCTCCCATCACTGTTCTTGCATCCACCCATCTTCAGACCCTGTCCTTATCCAGAGCTGTTCTCCAGCACTCAGGGATGTACCTGGGAGGCTGGCAAGGGACAAGGTATGTCAGATTGTGTTATTTGGAGGAGGAAGGGAATGTCCAGTGAGCCTGGGGTCAAACTGATGGGGGGAGTGAAAGAAATAGAGACTAGGATATTCTTTCCCAGCAAGGGGATGGGACAGGTGAGTACCACTTGGAAGGAATGGGTGGAAGGGGGATACCCATAATGATATAACTAAGTGGTGGAATTTGATTGAAAGACCCCAGACCCCTAAGAGCCTCAGGATCTCGAGGAGCCCCCGAGACTCAGAAACCAGACCAAGAGCTGCAAAATCAAGAGAGTTTATTGAACGAATGCACATTCGGGTGTCAGCAATATCGGGAAAGCTGCACACCCCAGCATGGGGTGCAAGCTCTTCATATAGAAAAAAACCGCAGAGCAGCATACAGGCAAGGGACACAAAGTGATTGATTACAAAGTATGATCTCATGTTAGAGAGGTCACCCAGGTGTGACCTGCTTTTCTACAAAGGAAAAAACCACAGAATGCACACTGGAAAGTCCCCGATTGTCTTTTGGCCAGGTATGACCCAAAAAGGATTGTTTGTCTGCCCTCTGGTTGGGGCCAGCTTCCTTGTAACGGGCCAAGGCCTGTGGTAAACTAAAATCTTTCAGATGAAGTTGGTAAGGTTGTCCCCTCTACCCCATCAATAGGGGAATAAGAAGGGAGGTAAGACCCGAAGACTCCATCAGGACCAAGTAGGTGACCTTGGTGTCCAGAAGGAAGGAGACAGGTCACCCTGATACTGAGTACCCAGGGCTGCCTGTTGGAAATGTCAGTAGTCATTGTCAAGGGAATTGGGGCCCCTCAGTCATCCATGGCCAGGTCTAAGCGGTCAGCTAGAAGGCAATCTGGGCCTGATATCCTCACACTGAGAAGGACATGATCAGTAAACAGCCCCATGTCCCTTTTGATGGCTTTTTGGGAACTGGGCAGTCTGAATGAAAATGGACCCCATAGACTCATAGGGAGTGGCATTATTAGAGGTGTGGCCTTGTTAGAGTAGGTGTGGCATTTACTGGAGGAAGTGTTTCATTAAGGGATGGGCTTTGAGGTTTTAGATGCTCAAGCCAGGCCCAATGTTACTCTTTCTTCCTG